CCCTAATCCTAAAGATAAAAGAAGAAAAATTGTGCAGATTTTCCTTTAAAAAAACAGGAGAGTTTCAGTTTAAGAGATTCTGTCTTGGTCCCAAAGACTAGGGCTGTCAGAAAATGGCTGATGGCACATAGCTGACAGTTAGAATGATCATGAAAAAGGTCGAACCTATCCATCATTATTTCCCGAAGAACTTGATCTGCCGTGATTATCCTTTCCCTCCAACATGCTTTCAGAATGACCCGGTTCACAATTTTTCAGGTGTGCGCACTTTCGGCACCAGAAACTTTTTTTTCCCCTGAGAACGTGTAAGTACTTTCACACTCTGGGGGACACTTATCTACTTTGTAGCTTTCATTAAAAGCAGAGTACCAATTTGCAAAACTCCCGCATTCTTCTATTAACCTTCAATGGCATCGGGTTATGAATTCAAAACAAAACATACTTTGGGTATTAAAAAATTGATCTCTGTCCTCGGTAGCATGGTTTTGAAAAGTTTCATTAGTTTTTTCTTTTCTTGAATAACTGAATTCTAAATGTTTAAAATTTTGAAATGCAAATTGGTTAGTACTCAGTTTTTAATGAAAGCTAGAAAATAGCCTAGGGTCCCCCAAAATGTGAAATCCAAAATTAATTTAACAAACTATAAAGGGTTAGGGGCATGGATTTTACAGACACTTTGTAGAGGGGTTGAAGAATTCGATGAAAAAGCAACCTTGATCAAGCTGTCCACGATGATTGCTCTCTCAAAAGTCATTTCAGGCAACTCGAATTCTGCAGACAAGAGTACCTTAAGCATGTGCAGCACAGACAAGCTACATCTGTACTGGAGCTATGGAATGAACTTTCACCCTGGGGCGGGCATATGAAAGTACATGGACTAATTTAAGGGCCAGGGAGAAGACTCAATGTAATTACATTGGAGCTGTGTATTTGGTTGAGGTAGCAATTAACGCTTGCAAGCGCAGAAATTATGACCCAACTTCTGAGGCGTTGGGCAACCAAAATTTCCAAAACATCCTAGTAACCATAGACCATACTTAGAATAAGAGGATGGAAAATTTTATAAATTTCATGAATATTGATGACAACTGAAAAAATCCAACACTTAATGGTTATCAATAATGCCAACTGCCAGTGAAAATAAAATCTGATTACAAATTTTCCTTTTTGTTTGAAAAATCATTGTGGCACTTCAAGCTGCAACAAACTTGAATTTACTACTCCATGATGTTTTACACATGACATCTACATGATGATGACATCTACATCAATCAGGGCAATCTAGGTTGTCTTTTCAGATAGTGATCAGAAGTTTTTGTGACTGCAAGGAGGAAGGTGTGGAGAAACTGATCACTCTACTAACAAGCTGGGCATAAATAAGGCATTACCTAACAACTTCATGAAAAATTTCCTTGGGCAATAAGCACACTCTTTCAATGGCGTCCTCACAGTATGCTAAGTAGTAAAAGCATATTGAGACACCAGTTGCTGCAATGCCTGGTTGAGGGACTTCCAGAAGATGCTGCACGAAGAGAGAAATGCACAAAATCAGATTATCACAACAGACAACTTAAACTGGCTCACAAAGCGTTCAAATATTTGTGAGCAGAATTCTCACAAGGTAACTGAAGCTTTAAATGCGAAGACAAAAGTGCAATACGTTTCTAAATGCTTCTACCTACTTTCAAACCCCCCCCCCCCCCCCACCTCCCACAAAAGATACTGAAGTGAGTTGGAAAAGCTAAAAATCATAAATTATTACTACAGAGTAACATCAACGAGAATGCGATGGACGATACTGAAAGAAAGCTATCAAGAAATGGATTTTCTAAGACATATTCATACCTGGCGACCATTCATGCTGAGAAATTCGATTGAGAAATTTTTGTGGCACAGAACTGCAGCCAAGTATTTCAGAGCTTCAAAGGCTAACCGCGATGAACGTTTTGTTTCCTTTATGTCGATGAAATTTAAAAATCAAACCAACCACGTTCTTTTCAAAAAACGTGACTCAGGAACTGCAAGGAAAAAGAAATAAATTAGGTGATTATAT